ACACCCCAGCACCCGCCCACACCAACACAGCGCCCGGATGGGCAGCGCCATGGGGCCACAGCGGGCCTCCAACCCCCCCCCCCCCCCCCCCCCCATAACCCCCCCCAGATCCCACCCACAGCCGTGCCAGCCACGAGGAGGAGGGCAGCAGGAGGCAGAAAGGGGAAGAGGGCCGCAGCTGCTTGGGGGGGGAAGCATGGGGTTGGGGGGGGGGGGGGGGACGGGACTCCAGCAACGTTTGAAAGGCGCTGCTGTGCGTTGTGCAAGAGCTCAGCCCCAAGGGAGGGCGCGCGGAGGGGCAGCGGCCACCCCATGGCATCTCGGGGGCCACCATGGCTCAGCGATGGCAATTCATGGTGCACCGTGATGCTCCGGGCTGCCAGGACCCCAGAGGGGGGCGCAAGGACCCCAAAGGGGAGCACAAGGATCCCAAAGGGGGGCGCAAGGACCCCAGAGGGGGGCGCAAGGACCCCAAAGGGGGGCGCAAGGACCCCAAAGGGGGGCACAAGGACCCCAAAGGGGGGCACAAGGACCCCAGAGGGGGGCGCAAGGACCCCAGAGGGGGGCGCAAGGACCCTGAAAGTGGGCGCAAGGACCCAGAGGGGGGCGCAAGGACCCCAGAGGGGGGCGCAAGGACCCTGAAGGTGGGCGCAAGGACCCTGAAGGTGGGCGCAAGGACCCCAAAGGGGGGCACAAGGACCCCAAAGGGGGGCGCAAGGACCCAAAGGGGGGCGCAAGGACCCAAAGGGGGGCACAAGAACCCAAAGGGGGGCACAAGAACCCAAAGGGGGGCACAAGAACCCAAAGGGGGGCGCAAGGACCCCAAAGGGGGGCGCAAGGACCCAAAGGGGGGCGCAAGGACCCAAAGGGGGGCGCAAGGACCCAAAGGGGGGCGCAATGGACCCAGAGGGGGGCGCAAGGACCCCAGAGGGGGGCGCAAGGACCCTGAAAGTGGGCGCAAGGACCCCAGAGGTGGGCGCAAGGACCCCAAAGGGGGGCGCAAGGACCCAGAGGGGGGCGCAAGGACACCAAAGGGGGGCGCAAGGACACCAAAGGGGGGCGCAAGGACCCCAAAGGGGGGCGCAAGGACCCTGAAAGTGGGCACAAGGACCCAGAGGTGGGCGCAAGGACCCAGAGGTGGGCGCAAGGACCCCAAAGGGGGGCGCAAGGACCCCAGTGGGGGGGGGAAAGAACCCCAGAGGGGGGCGCAAGGACCCCAAAGGGGAGCGCAAGGACCCAAAGGGGAGCGCAAGGACCCCAGAGGGGAGCGCAAGGACCCCAGAGGGGGGCGCAAGGACCCCAGAGGGGGGCGCAAGGACCCTGAAAGTGGCCACAAGGACCCAGAGGTGGGCGCAAGGACCCCAAAGGAGGGCGCAAGGACCCCAGAGGGGGGCGCAAGGACCCCAGAGGGGGGCGCAAGGACCCTGAAAGTGGCCACAAGGACCCAGAGGTGGGCGCAAGGACCCCAAAGGAGGGCGCAAGGACCCCAGAGGGGGGCGCAAGGACCCAGAGGTGGGCGCAAGGACCCCACAGGGGGGCGCAAGGACCCCACAGGGGGGCGCAAGGACCCCACAGGGGGGCGCAAGGACCCAAAGGGGAGCGCAAGGACCCAAAGGGGAGCGCAAGGACCCCAGAGGGGGAGCGCAAGGACCCCAGAGGGGGGCGCAAGGACCCCACAGGGGGGCGCAAGGACCCCAAAGGGGGGCACAAGGACCCTGAAAGTGGGCGCAAGGACCCCAGAGGGGGGCGCAAGGACCCCAGAGGGGGGCACAAGGACCCCAAAGGGGGGCACAAGGACCCCAAAGGGGGGCGCAAGGACCCTGAAAGTGGCCACAAGGACCCAGAGGTGGGCGCAAGGACCCCAAAGGGGGGCGCAAGGACCCCAGAGGGAAGCGCAAGGACCCTGAAAGTGGCCACAAGGACCCAGAGGTGGGCGCAAGGACCCCAGAGGTGGGCGCAGGGACCCCAAAGGGGGGCACAAGGACCCCAGAGGGGGGCACAAGGACCCCAGAGGGGGGCGCAAGGACCCCAGAGGGGGGCGCAAGGACCCAAAGGGGGGCGCAAGGACCCCAAAGGGGGGCGCAGGGACCCCAAAGGGGGGCGCAGGGACCCCAGAGGGGGGTGCAAGGACCCCACAGGGGGGCGCAAGGACCCCACAGGGGGGCGCAAGGACCTCAAAGGGGGGCGCAATGGACCCCAGAGGGGGGCGCAAGGACCCCAGAGGGGGGCGCAAGGACCCCAAAGGGGGGCGCAAGGACCCTGAAAGTGGCCACAAGGACCCAGAGGTGGGCGCAAGGACCCCAAAGGGGGGCGCAAGGACCCCACAGGGGGGCGCAAGGACCCCACAGGGGGGCGCAAGGACCCCAAAGGGGGGCGCAAGGACCCTGAAAGTGGCCACAAGGACCCAGAGGTGGGCGCAAGGACCCCAAAGGGGGGCGCAAGGACGCAGAGTTGGGCGCAAGGACCCCAAAGGGGGGCGCAAGGACCCCAAAGGGGGGCGCAAGGACCCCAAAGGGGGGCGCAAGGACCCTGAAAGTGGGCGCAAGGACCCTGAAAGTGGGCGCAAGGACCCTGAAAGTGGGCGCAAGGACCCCAGAGGGGGGCGCAAGGACCCTGAAAGTGGGCACAAGGACCCCAGAGGTGGGCGCAAGGACCCCAAAGGGGGGCGCAAGGACGCAGAGTTGGGCGCAAGGACCCCAAAGGGGGGCGCAAGGACCCCAGAGGGGGGCACAAGGACCCCAGAGGGGGGCACAAGGACCCCAGAGGGGGGCGCAAGGACCCCAAAGGGGGGCGCAAGGACCCCAGTGGGGGGGGGGAAAGAACCCCAGAGGGGGGCGCAAGGATCCCAAAGGGGGGCGCAAGGACCCAAAGGGGGGCGCAAGGACCCCGAAGGGGGGCGCAAGGACCCCGAAGGGGGGCGCAAGGACCCCGAAGGGCAGCACAAGGACCCCAGAGGGGGGGCGCAAGGACCCTGAAGGTGGCCACAAGGACCCAGAGGTGGGCGCAAGGACCCCAAAGGGGGGCGCAAGGACCCAGAGGGGGGCGCAAGGACCCAAAGGGGGGCGCAAGGACCCCAGAGGGGGGCGCAAGGACCCCAAAGGGGGGCGCAAGGACCCTGAAAGTGGGCACAAGGACCCAGAGGTGGGCGCAAGGACCCAGAGGTGGGCGCAAGGACCCCAAAGGGGGGCGCAAGGACCCCAAAGGGGGGCGCAAGGACCCCAAAGGGGGGCGCAAGGACCCTGAAAGTGGGCGCAAGGACCCAGAGGTGGGCGCAAGGACCCCAGAGGGGGGCACAAGGACCCCAAAGGGGGGCACAAGGACCCCAAAGGGGGGCGCAAGGACCCTGAAAGTGGCCACAAGGACCCAGAGGTGGGCGCAAGGACCCCAAAGGGGGGCGCAAGGACCCCAGAGGGAAGCGCAAGGACCCTGAAAGTGGCCACAAGGACCCAGAGGTGGGCGCAAGGACCCCAGAGGTGGGCGCAGGGACCCCAAAGGGGGGCACAAGGACCCCAGAGGGGGGCACAAGGACCCCAGAGGGGGGCGCAAGGACCCCAAAGGGGGGCGCAAGGACCCTGAAAGTGGCCACAAGGACCCAGAGGGGGGCACAAAGACCCAGAGGTGGGCGCAATGGACCCCAAAGGGGGGCGCAAGGACCCCAGAGGGGGGCGCAAGGACCCACACCGAGAACCCCGCGAGGGAGGGAGGGAGGGAGCGTGGCACCTGCCTGCCAACGCTGCCCTTTGCTCCCCATAAAGGAGGGGAACGGCGCCAGCCCCCCCTGGCCCAGGTGTGCCAGGTGCTAAGGGCGGCAGATAAGGTGGGCGAGGCGGGCAGGGAGGGGCTGCCATGGGCACGCAGCCCTGACTCAGGGTTGGTGGCCGGGCCCCATTGGGGGTGACTCACAGCGGCCCCCCCACCCTTGGGGGTGTTGCAACCGTCCCCGGTGGCGGCAGCAGAGGGGGGGGGGCAGCACCCAGCTTTGGTGGGGGGGGAGGGGAGGGGGATCTCTAAGGTGGGCTGCGAGAGAGCCGCGCTCCGTCCTCATCCGGCTCCATTTGGGATGCATGGAGACAGAACAGGGCAGGGCCTAAAAGCATCCCGGCACCGGGCACAGGGCAGCACCGGCACCGAACCACAGCACCAGAACAGAGCAGGGCCTAAAAGCATCCCAGCTATGGGCACACAGGGCAGCACCAGCACCGAACCACAGCACCAGAACGGGGCAGGGCCTAAAAGCATCCCAGCTATGGGCACACAGGGCAGCACCGGCACCGAACCACAGCACCAGAACCGGGCAGGGCCTAAAAGCATCCCAGCTATGGGCACACAGGGCAGCACCGGCACCGAACCACAGCACCAGAACCGGGCAGGGCCTAAAAGCATCCCAGCTATGGGCACACAGGGCAGCACCGGCACCGAACCACAGCACCAGAACGGGGCAGGGCCTAAAAGCATCCCAGCTATGGGCACAGGGCAGCACCGGCACCGAACCACAGCACCAGAACGGAGCAGGGCCTAAAAGCATCCCAGCTATGGGCACAGGGCAGCACCGGCACCGAACCACAGCACCAGAACGGAGCAGGGCCTAAAAGCATCCCAGCTATGGGCACAGGGCAGCACCGGCACCGAACCACAGCACCAGAACGGAGCAGGGCCTAAAAGCATCCCGGCTATGGGCACACAGGGCAGCACCGGCACCGAACCACAGCACCAGAACGGAGCAGGGCCTAAAAGCATCCCAGCTATGGGCACACAGGGCAGCACCGGCACCGAACCACAGCACCAGAACAGGGCAGGGCCTAAAAGCATCCCAGCTATGGGCACACAGGGCAGCACCGGCACCGAACCACGGCCACCATTGGGGTCCTGATGTCCCCCAACCCAGCAGCACCGGGGTGGAAGGCGTGCGGAGCTCCCCACCACGAGCCCCCACTGCTGGAGCTGCTGAACCCCGGTGCCCCCCTGGGGCGGGGATGGGGCAGACGAGGTTGGACGCTGCGTTGTCCCCGGCTGCACCCGGACACGGAGCTGCGTGGAGGCAGGAGGGAGGAACAGGGAAGGAAGGGGTTGCTAAAACTGAGGGGGAACAGGAAGGAAACGGTCAACAGCAACCGCGGGGTCCGACCGTCCCAGCGGGGGTGAAACCCACCCCGAGGTGCGGGCGTAGGGCAGGGAGGAGCCGAGGGGAGGAGCAGAGCTCCAAATTGATCTCCTGTAGCCGGGATGGTGGGAGGGGGGGCACCGCAGAGCGCCGTGCTCCTGCCTCTGCCCCATGGATCCCGTGGGCAGTGGGATCCAAACGGGGCAGCTCTGCTCTCACCACCCCACGGCGCACAGACAGAGACCCCCGGGGGGGGGGGGGGAAGCAGTCAAAGCTCCAGGTCCCACCACACAGCCCTGGGGGGGGGGGAGTATGGATGGATGCCGTTGCCCCCCCCCCCCCATCCTGGTGGCACCTTGAGCACCCAGAACTGCTGGCACAGGACAGACCCTGATGCTCCATCCCGTGGGGTCACCCAGCAAGGACAGTGCCAGCCCGCAGCCCCCCCCCCCCCCCTTTACACCCCCCGAAATAGCCTAGCTTCCGCCCCCACGCAGCTGCCTCCAGCTCCCCGCTGCCCACAGCTGATCCGGGCCGGGAGGGAGGGGGGCAGGCGGCTCTAATCCCCCCCGAGCCCACTTAGCACGGCTGTACCCCCCCCCCCCCCCGATCCGCACAGCACTGAGACCTCCACCCCCAAGCGACGCATCCCGCAGCACAGAGCGGGACACGCAGCCAAGCCACGGCACGCGGGGCAGTCCCCACGATGTCCCCAAACCGGGGACGTCCCCACCGAGCCCCCCGTGCCGGGAATCCCCCCCCCTCCCCCCTTCCTTTCCCCATCCCATAGCGCACAGCATCCCCGCACCCATCCTCACCGCGGCATCGCCGCAAGGACCGGGCACGGGGAGAGAGCACCGGGGGACGGCACGGAACGCTCGCATCCCCGCGCTGCTCCGTGCCATCCCGTAGCCCCGAGGTCGGCCGGCACCCGGAGCGCAGCCCCCGGACCCCCCCCCCCCCCCCAACTCACCGCCGCCTGCAGCCGCTGCCCATGGGGACGCAGCGGGGACGGCCGGGGCAGCGCGGAGCGCGCACAGCTGAGCCTGCCGGGAGAGGCCAGCGCTCTGACCTACTTCTCCTTCCGCATCACCTGCTTTCATTTTCCCTCGCCACGGCTCAGTCCCCCCCCCCCCCCACCACCACCGCCGCCACCACCTCCCGCCCACGGCCCCAACCCGTCACGCTGGTGGCTCCTCGGGGACACCGGGACCCGGCGGCTCCCTACGGCACCGGAGGGCTGACGGCGTTGTGCCACCGGGCCCTCGGTGCGCTGAAGGTCACCGGGCACAGCTGGGGACAGGCACGGCCGCCTTTGCCACCCCCCCACCCCCCCCCGGCGTCACCTCCCTGGCACGAAGCGAGTCGGACGGGTCTCAGCCCGGCCCCTCGCTCCGTCCTCGGTCGCCCCGGGGCTCGGCGGGGTGTGGACACGCAGCTCAACGCGGGGATGCAGCTCTGCCCCAGGGACACGGGAGGCGCGTGGGGACGGCAGCCTCGCTCCCCCTTAGCGTTCCACTGGCGATTGGGGGGGGGGGGTTTCTATGGAAAGGCCCCGGCACTGGGGGAGTGCGAGCGCTCCCGGGGGCTCCCGCCAGCAACCAGAGCTGCCAGGAGAGATTTCTGCGTGGTTTCATCATCCACCGCCGCCCCGAAGGAGAAGTTCCTGCTCCGTCTCAGGACACCCACCCACCCTTCAGGGCCTGCGGGCTGCGGGGCTGCGCCCACCGCCTTCCCCCCCCATACACCACCACCAACCCCCCCCCCCCCCCCGCGTGTGCGCGCTCGGGGCCTTCGTGTGCCACGTGTGCACCGAGGGTGCATGGCAGCAGCTGGCAGAGCTGCGGCCGCAGCTTCGGGCTCAGCGCTGCTGTCTGTAAAGTAAGGGGGGGGGGGGGGGGGTCAGCCCTGCAAAGCCCTCACAGCCCCCCTGGGATGCCGTTCTCCACGCCCCCAGCCCGGTGATCACCTCCCCAGGCCTCAGCGTGGCAGCAGCCAGGTTAAAAACCCGCTCCGCCCCCCCCCCCCCCCTTTCCACCCCCCAGGCCAGGAGCTGCCCGTTCTCTCTGCAGAGCCCCCACACATCGCAGTCCCGCTGCCCCACAGCTTCCCCTTCTCCAAGCTGAAGTTCCCCTCTCTCCACACCCAGCGCTACCACAACCCCTCAGCAGGCACCGGGGGACTCCAAACCGTGAGGACCCCCCTCCTCCTCCCCACCATGTGAGAACAGCGCCCAGAAAGCCACGGACCTGACTCTGCTCGGGGAAACTGAGGCACGGTGAGACACCCCGAAGGCACCGAACCCAAAGGCAGCACCCAGAGCTCGAGGCCAGGAGGGGACCCAAAAAACGCAGCAGCCCCCCGATCGAGGGCAGCCGTAGCCCAAGACAACGGCCGTTGTCTGGCGTGAGGGTAAACACCGCACCCCGCCCCGGACAAACAGCAGCGGGGGCAGCGGCCCGGGGGGAGCACGGAGCCGGGTGCGGGGCAGAGTCCACAGAGCTCAGGGTGCCCAAAGGGTGGGGGGGGGGGCAGGGCGAACACCACGGGCACCCCCTGGCTGCCCGGAATTGGGTGAAACAGCACCGCGGCCCCGCTTTTACCATCGGGTGTCATTCCCAACCGCGAGCTCACCGGGGCAGGGCAGGTCCCCGGCAGGCCTTACGCAGAAGGACGCGGGGATGCAGGGACACCAACGGGGACAGGGAGCGGGGGGGGGGTGAGCCCCCGAGGGGCTCAGCCGCCGCCGATCCGCGGGACGGTGCCACGCGTGGGCCGGGAGCTCCGGAGCGGCAGCGCCAGCAGGGTCAGGGCGAAAGGAGGGGACGCGTCCCGGTGCCCGGTTCTCCACCGCCGCAGCCCCGGGATCGCTCCCCGAGTCCCGAGCGGTGCGCGCAGCCCCCACCCCCCCCCCCTCCTGGCACCGCGCCCGCCGACGTGTCCGCGTCTGCCGGCAGTTCCCGTCCCCGCCGCTCCCGGTGCGCGGAACGAACGGAGCCATAGGGAACCGCACGAGGAACCGCACCGGGAACAGAGCACGGAACGGGCGCACCGCCCCGGAGCCAAATCCGGGAGCGAGCGCACCGAGCGGCACCGGCCCCGCCGCAGAGCATCGGAACGACGCGACTCACCGGAGCCGGGCTGCGGGCACCGGGCCGGTAGCGGTGCGTCCGTCGCTCCCTCCGTACAGACAGAACCGTCGGTCCGCCGGGCCCCGCGTTCCCCCCGCCCGCTCCGCGCCTCCTCCGCTCTCCACCTGCGCGCTCCGCGCTCACCTGCGCGCCCCGCCCCGCCCAGCGCCGGTCCCGGGGCCGCAGCCCCGCCTCCGCCTCCACCTGCACCGCCGCCCCGCCCGGCCCCCCCCCTCCGCCGCCTCCAGGAAGCGCCCGCCCCCTCCGCGCCCATTGGGCAGCGCTCCGCATCCCCCGCCTCCTATTGGCGGAGGGGGTTGTCCGTCACCCCCCGTGCCGTCCCCTCCTTCCCTCGGGGGAGGGCGGCGGCGTGCCCCCCCCCCCCCCCCCCCCCATAGCCACCCCCAACCCCCCCCCTCGGGGCCGGCGGGGAGCGGAGCGGTGGGGCCCGGCCGTGGGGAGCGGGGGGAGGAAGAGCTGAGTCAGAGCGCCCGGGGGGGGCGGCGGGGAGGGAGCGCGCTCACACCGGAGCCGCCCCCCGCTGGGGGGAGCCCGGTCCGGCGGTGCCGCGCCCGGTGCCGCGCCCGGTGCCAGGCGCTGAGCGCTCCGCCCGCTGCGGCCGCGGAGCTCCGGGCCCGCCCCGCTCGGTGCCGGCTGCGGGGGGGAGGGGGGAGAACGGGGAAGAGGGCACCGGGATGGAAAACGGGAAAACGGAGAGTGGGGAACGGGAGCGCCGGGAGTAGAGAACGGGGCGTCGGAACGGAGAACGGAAAAGCGGGGGGTTGGGAAAGGAAAAAGCGGGGGACGGATAACCGAGCGTCGGGATGGAGAACTGGGAACGGGGGTGAAGAAACGGGCACCGGAGAACGGGAAACCGGGCGCCGTGCACCGACTGGCGCTGAGAAGCGGGCACCGGGCGCGGAGCCCCTCCCGGCCCTGCAGTGCCGGTGAACGGTGCGGGCGGAGCCCCCCCTCTCCGCCAGGTGCCGGCCGGGGGTCCCGTTCCGACCCGTTCGGCCGCCTCCGGGCCCCGGGGGAACGGCAGAGGGCGGCCCGGCCCCGCGCTCACCTCGCCTCACCCCGACCCCCCCGGAGCGCTCCTGACTCAGAGCCCGGCGCGGCCGCTGCCCGGAGCGGGTGGAAAGTGTGAGCCGCCGCCGTGCGCTGCCAATGCAAACACCGCCCCGCAGACGTTATGTCAGCGAGGAGGGCGGGGGGCTCCGCTCCGGGCCGGTCCCCGCCTCTCCCGGTTCCTCCGGTGCCCCGGTGCTCGCTCCCGGTTCGTTCATCCCCTCCTCTACCGCCGGTACCGGGCACCTGCGGCCGTTCCCTTTTGCTTTTCCCGAGCGCAAAGCGATGCGCAGAGGCTGCATCTCCGTTCGTGTCCGTCCATCGTTCCGTCCGTCCATCGTTCCGTCCATTCACCTGCCTCACCTCCACCCGGCTCTAACCCTGCTGTCACCTGTCCGTCTGTCCGTCCGTCCGTCCCCAACCGCACTGCCGGACCCATCCCGGAGGTTCGGACCCATCCCGGAGGTTCGGAACCCGCTCGGGGTTCCCGCAGAAGCGGAGGCTTCTGAGGGGGGAAATCCGCCAAAAATCCCCTCCCCTCCGCTGCCACCGAAACCCCCCAACCCGAAACCGTCCTCCCACGGCCCCGCCGCCTTCCGGTGCCCCCGTGGCGCAGCCCCCCCAACCCCCCCCCCCGCACTCCTCCCTCATCCCGCACGGGGTCCCACCGCAGCCCCACCGCTTCCAACCGGAGGCAAAAGCTTTCCGTCCTCACTTCCGCAACCCCATCACCCTCCCCCCCACCCCCGTTCCCCCCGGTTCTTCCCGCAACCCCGCACCTCCCTCCCGGGCCCCGAGGCCGCAGCCCCCGCCCCGTACGGCCCCGCCGCTATTTTTAAACCGCTGCGTTATTTCGGTGCCCCGCGTTCTCGCTCCGCCGCACCGTTCCCTCCCGCAGCCCCGACGGCGCGGACCGCGCTCACCTCGTAGCACCGGGAACGGGTGGGGGCCGCGGAGCCGCCAGGCCCCTTCTGTGCCGGGCCGGCGGCGTGGCAGGAAGGACCGGGCGGTCATCTCGGCCCGGCCCGGCCGCCTGCAGAGGGCACTGCCGGTCCCCGGAGCGCAACGGAGCCCCCGGGTGACGGCACCGGGGCGGCCCCCGGGGGGGGTGAGGGGGGGGTGGGCGGCGGAACGCGGCGGGACGCGGAGCGTTTTGGTTGCCGGTGCCACCGTTTATTGGAGTTATAAATAACGGATGCAGATCGGGTGCGGAGAGACGGAGGTTGGGGGGGGGGGGGGGAGGGAAGGGCGAGGGGGGGCTGCCCCAGATGTGCTCATCTTCCTACGGTCCCGCTGCGCTCACCTGCCTGGATTCCGGCTGTGTTCACCTCCCCCCCCCGCCCCGTATTCCAGCTGTGCTCACCTGCACCGCCTCGGATGTGCGTTTCTGCCCCCTCCTCCAGCTGTACTTACCTCTCGTTCCAGCTGTGCCCGCCCCCATTCCAGCTGTTCTCATCCCACCTTCCATCAATTCCCCATTCCAGCCGTTCCCACCTCATTCCAGCTGTGCTCACCCCCTATTCCAGCTGTGCTCACCCCTCACTCCATCAGTTCCCCATTCCACCTGTGCTCACCCCCTATTCCAGCTGTGCTCACCCCCTATTCCAGCTGTGCTCACCCCTCACTCCATCAGTTCCCCATTCCACCTGTGCTCACCCCTCATTCCAGCCGTTCTCACCCCTCATTCAATCAATTCCCCATTCCAGCTGTGCTCACCCCTCATTCCAGCTGTGCTCACCCCTCATTCCAGCTGTTCTCACCCCTCACTCCATCAGTTCCCCATTCCAGCTGTGATTTCCTCCATTCCTCAGCTTTCCTTCCTCATTCCGGTTGTGCCCACCTCATTCCACCTCTGCTCACCCCTCATTCCAGCCGTGCTCACCTCCGATTCCTGCTCTGCTCAGCCCTATTCCAGCTGTGCTCACCCCCTTCGTTCCAGCTGTGCCCATCCCACCCCCCCGCTCACCCCCTGCTCAGGAGCTGCCCCCTATAGACCCTCGCATTCCCTGCACTCCCACCCTCCTCAACTTCAACTTCCTCCTTTTCACCCTTTTACACAAATAACATAAATTAAACATGCAACGTAACCACGGAAATCATAATAACCAAAGAGAGATTAAATAACGCCCTGCCCCAGCCCCACACCCGGGCTTTGGGAAGGGGGGTTGGGGGTCCCGTGGGAACGCAGGGGCCCATAGATGGGGGCCGTGCCACCCCAACGGCCTCTCAGCAGGGCTGTGCCAGCAGCACCTCCAGCCAGCAAGGGCACGAGGTGATGAACTGCCTCGAGTAGCACGGCCCCCAGCCCTTCCCAAAGCTGATCCGGACACTATGGGGGTCGCAAGGCCCATCCCCATTCCGCCACCCCCCGGCCCCCATCCCCCCCGCCCTCTCGTAGTCGAACACCTTCGCCGAATACCCTGGCAGCACTTTGAGCACGGCGAGCCCGTGGGCTCCAGGCGGGCCCAGGGTGGGCGAGCTGACAAAGATGGGATGCTCGCTTCGGTTGTACGCCCAGACGGCGCTCAGCTCCCGGCTCAGCAGCAGCCCCCTCCCAATCTTCCCCCTGGCGCTGCGCACGGCGCGGCTGCGGTGCACGGCGGGCAGTTGGCCCAGGCAGAACCCGCTGCCCCGCGGCAGCTCGCTGAAGACGTTCACCGACGCTTCGTGCACGGCGTAGAGGCGACCCACGCGTGTCCGGTGCTCCCAGTACGCCAGTTTGCACCAGCAGCCGTCCCGTGCCGCGCTCCGAGAGATGCTGGTGTCTGTTGGGACAGAATCACAGAGTCACGGCTTGGCCTGGATTGAAGGGACCTCAGGGGTCCCAAAGCTGCGACCCCACAGCGCCTGCAAAGCCCCCGACCTGCCCACGTCTCACAGCAGCCCAGGCTGCCCAGGGCCCCATCCAGCCTGGCCTCCAAGCCCTCCAGCGATGGACGGGGCATCGCAGCCTCTCTGGGCAGCTCTTCAGCCCCTCACCGCTCTCCCAGCACACAACTTCCCTGACCCCCAGCCTCCAGCTGCCCTCCCTCCGCTTCCAGCCGTTCCCTGCTCTCATCTCCCCTGCCCAAGAGCTGCCTCCCCTCCTGGCTGCAGGCTCCCTGCAGGCTGCACTCAGCTCAGCCCCGGCTCCTCTTCTCCGTGCTGAACGAGCCCAGCTCCCTCAGCCTGGCTTTGCAGGGAGCTGCTGCAGCCCCTGCTCAGCCCTGCGGCTCCTCTGGCTCCTCTCCCACAGCTCCCTGTCTTGTCTGGGAACCCCCAGCCCTGGACGCGGTGCTGCAGACGGGGCCTCAGAGAACAGAGCCCAGAGGGACGATCGCCTCCCTGTCCCTGCTGCCCCCCCTCTGCTGATGGCGCCCAGGATCCCGTTTGCTTTCCCAGCCGCAATCGCACCCTGCTGGTTCAGCTTTTCACCCCCCGGTTCCTTCAGTGCAGGGCTGCTCTCAGCGGCTGCTCCTTCCAGTCTGCATCAATGCCTGGCATTCCTGCAGCCCGAGTGCCAAACCTCGCACTTTGCTGCGTTGAACCTCATCAGGCTCCCCCAGGCCCACCTTTCATTCCCTCTGAATGGCAGATCAGCACGGTGCTGCGTGGCTACACAGCCTACCCCCAACCCTCTGCATACGGTGGTCCCAAGGGACGCACTGGGCTGACGGCACACGGGGGATTGGTGCCCATGGGTGACACACGGAGCGCCCCATGGCCTTGCAGCCAGGATACGGCGATAGCAGGAATCAGTGAGCTGCTGAGCGTCGGCACGTAGGCCCAGGGCAGCCCCCTGGGGGCCACGTTGTGTGCCAAGGTTGGGGGGGGGGGGTCCCTGGTGGATGAGAAGGTGGAGCCCTTCGGCTTTGTGGCTTGCAGCCAGGCTGGAGCCGCGCCGCGTGCGTCAAGGCACATTGTGTGCGGCCCCGTGGGCAGCGCTTCCTCCGGCGGGGAGTCCGGAGCAGCCAAAAATAACAGGAGAGCTGAGTGCTGGGGTAAAGGGGGGGGGTGTTTGGGGGGGGTGGATCCTCCCAGTAGAAGCCCTCATCCCACGTCGGCTCCCAGTCCTGCGCCTGGTTTTCTTTTTGGGTACCGCGTTTTCGGCCCTTACCGCGCCGCTCCGCGTGGTTGCAGCTGAAGTCCAGGAGCTGGGGGGACTTGGGCTCAGCTGGCCAGGAGGGGCTGATGGACTTCGAGTAGGGGGGTGGAGGGGTCTCTGGAATGGGGATGGGAAGCAGTGAGGAGTTGAGCACGTCCCACTTTTCTAAATGTCACCCCATACTCTGATCCCATTCCCACCGGATGCCAAAGGGACCCCAGGGACCAGGGGCTGGAGGGGTCGCAAGGATCAGGAGTTGAAGGGACCCCAGGGGCTGCAGGGATCCCAGGGACCAGGAGTTGGAGGGACCACAAGGACCAGGGGCTGGAGGGACCCCAAGGGGTTACAGAGACCCCAGACATCAAGGGCTTGAGAGGGACCACTGGGACCAGGGGTTGAAGGGGTTGAAGGGACCATGAGGAGGAGGGGCTATGGGGACCCCAAGGGGTTACAGGGACCCCAGGGACCAGGAGTTGGAGGGACCACAGGGACCAGGGGTTGAAGGGACCACGAGGACGAGGGGCTATGGGGACCCCAAGGGGTTGCAGGGACCCCAGGGACAAGGAGTTGGAGGGACCACAAGGACCAGGGGCTGGAGGGACCCCAGGAGCTGCAGGGACCCTGGGAATCGGCCTCTGGGGACTCCCCAGATGGCAAGGAGGGCCGGGGGGGGGGGGGCACTCACCGGGCGCAGCCAGACGGCTGAAGTGATGGGGGTTGCAGCAGAGCGCGGCCGCATCCCCGCAGCCGCCCCGGCCCCCCGCGCTCTGGCAGTAGCAGAGATGCTTGAGCTCATGGGGCTGCCGCAGGTCGGGCCAGCGGAACAGGCGGCACAGCAGCACCTGGGGGGGCAGCGCCTGCTTGGCCCCCCGCGGCACCCAGACGCAGCCGGACTCCCAGGCACCGCGGCTCTCCACCGCCTGCAGCAGCAGCTCCAGCTCCTCGTCCTTCAGCTTCTTGAACAGGGCGTGCGCCGCGGGTTTCAGGGCACCGGGACCCTCCTCGGGGCCGGGGGTCGGGCAGCGCTGTCGCCACAGCCGCCTCAGCAGCGCGGCGCGGCGAGAACGGAACATGGGGCAGAAGGGCAGAGCTGGGGATGGGGACGCGGGTGTCACTCGATGCGCTAAGAAGCATCGCACCGTGTCCCCCCCTGCCGCCACCGGGGCGACGCCGCATCCCCGTGGAGCCGCCCCATCCGTCGCCATCCCCCTAAGTCGCGTTCTGCCCCCCAATAGAAGCCCTGTGCAGAGCAGCGTCCCCGTCCCCGTGCCACATATCCCCGTGCCACGCATCCCCGCGCCACGACCCCTGCGAGGGGTCCCGGGGATGGGGTCAGACTCACGGTGGGCGGCGGAGCTGTGTGCCAGGAGATGGGGTCGCGCGTAGGGCCGCGCTGTGGGGCGGCCCGGACCGCTCTGCCCGCGGCTCGCCCAGTTCAGAGCTTTTTCCTGTGCCGGGATTCTCCCCTCCCCCGGACCTCCCCGTTTGGGGAATTCATTGATTCGTGTGTCCGGACCTCGGGTTGCGGCGCGGATGGGGTCAGGACGCGGCGACAGCGGGGCGGCTGCGTGGGCTGTGGGGCAGGGGATGCCCACAGCGTTGCAGATGTTGGCACGGTGACCCCGTGCTGGGGGGCAGCGAGGGGGCAGCGAGCAGCGCGGCGTAACGACGCATAACCCAACCCCATGGGAAAGGGGGGCGGCGGGGTGTCCCACAAAGCCCCCACTCCTAACGCTGAGCGGGCTGCAGGGGTGACCCGAACCCTCCAAATCAGGGCTCCCAGCTGCCCCCCAAGCCATCTCAGCAACGAACCTCGACCCCCCCGCGGGCACAACGTGAGGGTGGGAACTCGTGCCATAACAAAGCCATCATGTAAACGGGACCCTTATCCCGAGCGGGGCCGCGCTTCCTGCTCCCGACTTCCCGGCGAGATAAGGGCGGCCGCGCCGGCGCCAGGCGTGCGCCACGGCCGGGGCTTCCCTGCAGGGATGGAGCCCGCAGCCCCACAGCGGGGCCGGCACGGAGCGCTTTGGTTACACGGAGACCCCCGCCATCGACCCCGAGGGTCGCGGTGCCCCGTTGTTCCGTGAGTTGGGCTGCAAACCGGATTGTGGGGGTATGTTTTGCTCTGGCCGCTTCCCGGCGGCGGTGGTGCCGGGCGGGCGCGTAGGGTTGGGGCAGGAAACGGCTTGGAAGTCTCTAAACAAGGGACTGAGTCACAGCAGAGATAACCCAGGGGAGGGGGAAGCAGGGCCGCGGCTCCGCGGTCAACAATGGGGCCGGGGACCCCCGGGGGGGGGATGGAGGGTGGGTCTGGGCACGGCAGGGCAGAGACGCAGCAGGTCGAAGTTCTGGGGGTGCACGTGGGCAGGGTGGGGGGACGCTCAGCCCTCGACACACGCAGCCGCTCACACACTGCTCAGGTTTATTGGGGTCGTGGTGCCGGGGGGGCTCAGGGTGGGCCGGGTCCTGGTGTTGGGGGTCCATCGGGTCCAAACCGGGCAGCGCAGAGCCACGGAGGGGCAACAGAATCCTGGGGAGGGGAGAGAAGCACAGGAAGGGTGAGCAGCCCCAGGGGCAGCACAGCCAGGGACCCCTCCTTCACTACGCACCACCGCTGGGACCCCCACATCACCCCCCACCCCCCACAGACCGGCTCCCACACACCCCCACAGCATCGCAGCTGCACCCTCCCCCCTTCCAGCACCACCGCATCCAAATCTCTCCCCCTCACCCTATCGACTTCTTGAACACCGGAACCCCGCACCCCCCACCGCCACCCGGGACCACCGTGACCGGATCCCCACCACTCACCAGCATCCCGGCAGTCCCACCGTGGGGAAGGAGCCGTGCCCTACTCCAGCAGCTCCCGGATGCACCAGCTGCACAGCAGGAGGTAAACGCACTCCCGCAGCACCCGCAGCACCCAGCGGCCGAGCCGCAGCCCCAGGGACGCGTCGCCGGGTGCCGGCAGCGCCACGGCCTGCGCCATCCGCTTCACGGTGCCCGGTGGCCGGGCTGTCGCGGTTCGTAGGAGACGCATGGCAACGGGATCTGAGCGGGGAGGGATCGGCGCGGCCACGCGGAGCCCCGGGCGAGCGCTGGAAATTGCTCCATTCTCTGCGCTTCAAAAGCCGCCACAATGACGCGCACGTGGGGAAAGGGGGGGGGGGGGGAGGCACCGCCTGGGGTCGCTTTTGTTCGGACGCGGCCGCTCTCGTTCCTCCTGCCGGAGCCCCGCACAGCACCAACGGAGCGGCGCAGCCAAGCTCGGGCGAGACGCTGAGCGCAGCGGCTTTATTTAGCGCCGTCCCCAGCAGCGGGGATGACACCTGTGGACGCCATCGGTCTCAGCGCGGCTCTCACCGGCGCGACGTGCGCTCGTCCTCCTCGTTTTCCAGCTCGTAGGCGGGTCTGTAGCTCTCTCGGCCGCTGGCGTCGGTGTAGAGCAGCGCTGGGTTCTTCATTGTGTTGGCCATGGTCCCCAGGGAGGTGTAGCTGTGAGGGGACAGCGCGGCTGTGGGAGGGCTGGAGGGCATCGCCCCCTGCTCTGCCCCTCCTCTGCCTGCTCCCCACACTCACCCCTTGTCGTAGAGGATGCAGTAGGGGACAAAGAGCTTGCGCAGGAACTCCCAGATGTCCCTGTATGTCCAGTCCTGCGGGCAGAATTGGGCAGGGATCGCTGCAGAGGTGGATGCAGAGGCTGCCCCTCGTCTCAGGGAAGGCACTCGGCTCCAGCTCGGCACGCGTGGAGCCCAGCCAGCATCCACTGCCCTCTGCCCACGGCCCCAGAGCGCATCCATCCCTCCCTGAACACGGCAAAAGCCACGGCTGGGCAGGAATGAGCCCCAACCGCCGGCAGCAGCAGTGGGTGTCCCCACTGCGGGGCCACAGCTGGGCAACAAGGCCCTAGGGAGAGGAGAACTGGGCAGAGAAGCCCCCGAGGATGAGGATTCACTCCAAACTCACTCCCAGACAAGCAGGAACAGCCCCGTCCCCATCCCAGATGGCAGCAGCATACCAGCAGTGGGTTCACCCTCATGTACTGGGGCCAGTCGGGGTCCGTCATGCACATGGGGGTCAGGGTGCACGAGTAGGGGTCGGTGCGCCGCGTGCCCATCAGGACGGCCTCCAGCTGCGGCTGCTGCTCCTTCAGGGTGAGCAGGGCGTCCCGGATGGAGCCCTCCACCGTGCACAGCTGGATCTTGTACCTGGAGGGCAGGACAGGCAGCTGGCATCGGGGCGGGCCGCGCCGCTTGCGCCCAGCTGGCCCTCAGCGCCCCCCGTACCTCCGCACGGTGGCCTGGATGAACTGCTCCATTTCAGGGAAGGGAGACACGATGCGGATGTAGAGCACCTTCAGCTTCTCCTGCCTCTCCGGGTACCGCCTGGGGGGAGAGCCACCAAGGGCAGCCATGAGAGACGCGAGGCAAAGCAGGCAGAGCAGGGCAGAGAGCCCCGAGCAGCCCTGAGGAACCCAGCGCCCCGCAGTACCTCTCCACGGCAGCGTGGACCAGGTGCAGCAGGGCTGTGCAGTCCTTGCCCCCGTTGAAACCCACGCAGAGCTGCGCTAGGCTGTACCGCTCCAAAGCCTCCTCGATAGTCCTCAGTGCTGCTGCCACCTTCTGTCCCAGAGCCGAGCCTGCTGAGAGGGGACAGTCGGTGCCTGCTGGCGCTGCCCAAGGCCGCGCTGCCACGGCTCAGCCCCAAGGCCCAGCTCCTTCCTGCAGTGCCTCATCTCCTCTCCAGGCACAGCCCAGAGCTGCTGCTGGCACCGCGTCCTGCAGCCAAGAGCTCGCGTGTCCCTAAGGCACAACCATCCCCCTACCCAGCAAGGGGACGAGGCCAACCCCAAAGAGAACTCGATGCAAATTCCACCCCCGGGCTGCTCTTGCCACTGCCTCGGCCCCTCCGCGTCTGCAGGAGCAGCACAAGGACCCCAGCTGCAGCTGCTGTACCTGACTCAGCCAAGGCATAGACCTCAGTGGAAGCCCTCGAGACGCAGTCAGTCACCAACGGCACCACCACGCCAGGCGGCAGCTTCTCCATCAGGAAGCCGTGTGCCTCCTCCAGGTGCTGCTCCGACTCGGAGTCCAGCGTCAGCTTCACACGGTAATAATTGTTGGCCCAGTCCGGGTAGGAACCCAAACTCACACGGCCCTGAAAGCTGGCGTTGGCCTGATCCAGCACGGGAGCAATCTGCACCTCATCAGCTGCCACGTAGATGGCACGGGAGTGGAAGCAGGTCTGCTCACTGCGGAAAAGATGGCTGAGACCATCCAGGGCACGTTCCATCAGTGCTGGGATGCCCGGGAAGATGTAGACGTTACGGACACTAACCAGAGGATACTTGAAGGCACTGCCTGTCAGTCGGTCCGTGCCATAGTTGAGGCGTGAGGACTCAGGGATGCGAGCCAGCTTCATCTCAGGGCACTGCATGTCCGTCTTGCCGAAGAATTTATGCACCAGGGCCACCAGCTCCGGGTGCGGGGCCACCTTCTCCCCAAAAGCTTTGGCCACGGCCTCGAAGGTGACGTCGTCGTGCGTGGGGCCGATGCCCCCCGAGGTCAGCACGAAGGTGAAGCGGGAGGCGAAGGCGGCCACTTCAGCAGCGATGGCGTCCACCTCGTCGGGCACCACGGAGACACGGGCCACGCGCACACCCAGCGCACGCAGCCGCCGGCACATGAAGAAGGAGTTCGTGTCCTGAGTGTGGCCCTGAGGGGAAGGGCAGCTGCAGTGAGACCAGGCCTGGCTGAGGCACGAGCCCAGGCCCAAGCTCCAGGTCAGACCCCCAGGGCCGACCTCAGGCCTGAACTCCTGGACAAACACCAGGACAGAGTCCAGGACAGAGCCACAGATCCAAGCCCCAGGCCAGGCTGCAGGCCTGACCCCACACCGGAACCCCAGGCCTGGAGCCCAATCCTGACTCCCAGGCCAGACCCCCAGGCGAGAAACCCAGGCCCAAACATCCGGCCCGACCCCAGACCCAAACCCCCGGCCGCAGTCCCTGAGCGCAGCCCTCTGGCCCAGCCCGACTCCAGGCTCGGCCCAGCCCCCAGCCGCAGGCCCCGCTCTCACCTTGAGGATCTCATCCCCGATGATGATGATCCCGGCGGTGGAGGCGGAGCTGTGCCCGGCCATGGCTCTGCAGGCCGCGTTCCGCCGCGCGGTACCGAGCAGAGCCCCCACAACCCGCAGCGCCGCCCGCATGAACCCCGCCGAACCGAACCGGTTCCGCCACGCCGCCACCTCCCCGCGCTCCTATTGGTCGGGGCGAACGTACGTCACGAGGCTCTGCGAGCTCTGATTGGTTGAGGGCGGACAGAGCCACTGCGGGGGGCGGTCCTACCGCTCCCCCTTCCCCCATAGCGCCATGGACTCGCCCGGCACACGTGCGCTTCCCCTCCCCCCTCCCGCCTTCCCCGCCCCGTTATCCCGGAGCCCTCCCGCCCTATGAACCCTTCCAACACCCTCTCTCCGGTCACAGCTACACCAGAACCACCCGGGGGAGGGAGGGCTGTTCCTGAGCACCGGGAGCTCTTCCTGCCTCCCACCTCCCTCCCTCTCCCCCCAAAGGCAGAACAGCAGCGCACAGCAGTTCCCAAATATCCTTTTATTGAAGCTTTTGAGAACCCCGACCCCACAGCGCGGTGCCCGGGGCTGAGCCGCTGCAGGTGCCCAGATGGCACTGAGTTCATGAGCATCTTAGGGACCCAGTGGCTCTGCCCCAACCGGGAAAGCTCCCAGGAACAGAGGGTGCGAGAGAGGAGGAGAAGAAAGAGGATGATGGTGATGATGAAGGTGCTTTGTAGCCCAGGCAGATGAAGGCTGCAGCCAGCCCAGGGAACGCTCACTTCTCTGGCTTCTTGGGCAGCGGCCGTCGGAAGAGGAGGATGTGTGGCTCTGTGGGGACGTAGCACAGGATGAGGCTGGGCTGTGGGATGGGAGCTCGCATCCCGTAGGGCAGCCATACGGGACTCACCTGGCTCGTGGATCATGTAGTGCACCCAGCCCTGGCTCTGCTGCACACCCAGGTTCCGCCACTCCGATTCAGACATCAGGTGGGTTTTGGGCACCAGCTTGGCGATGTCTTTGGGCAGCATCACATGCCTGCGGCCGGGGGCTGCTCAGCCGGGGGCACTCTCCCGGTGCACCCCCCCTTCCCCTGCCCACCCTCTTAGGCTCAGATCCCCCTCCCATTCCCATATCGTTGTTCCTCCCCCTTCCTCCTCAGGCCCAGACCCTTTGCCTCCCCCCACTTCCACCCCACTCCCCTCTTAGGCCCGGACCCGGTACTCCCCACCCCCCCAGATCCAAACCCGGTGCCTCCCCCCCCCTCATTGTCTCCCACTACTCCCCCCCCTCCTCCCCTCAGGCCCAAACCTGGTGCCCCCCCCCCATCCCCTTCAGGCCCAAACCCGGTACAGCCCGTCCCCCCCAGTCCCTCATCCCAGCCGACCCTTCCATACTAACAAACCCCCCCTCCGTTTCCTGTTGCCGGAAGGACGCCATTACCGGGGACCCCCCTCCCCAACAAACAGCCGTTATCCTCCTCCCCCCCCCATCAGACAACGGTTACCGCTCCTCCCCCGCTTCTCCTCACCGGTACTCGAACTCTTCGTCGTCATACTTGTCGGAGTAGTAGATCTGCTTGTGCGCCATGCCGCCCGCGGTCCGCCCCTTTCCCGGCAGCCCCCGCCGCGCCCCTCTCCTCAGCTCCCGGCGGCCGTTGGTTTTTCCCCCCCGCCCCCCTCCCCCCAACGGTGCTTTCAAACACCGCCGCCCCGCGCGCTCATTGGTCCGCTCCGCAAAGGCGGGACGAGCGATTAGGAAGCTGATTGGTCGACGGTCGAGCGGATACGCCCCTTCCGCTCAGGCTCGGGCGCCGCCTTCCGGTGGCCCGCCGGTTCGCGCGTCACGTGACGGGGGCGCGGTGAGGCCGCGGTGGAGGGGCGTGGGCCGGAAGTGAGTGGCGGCGTGGCGGGGGGAGGGCGCTCGGTGCGGGGCGCTGCGGCCGCCGGGACCGGAGGAGACCGGCGCGTAGACCCATGGTGCCCCGGTGAGCGTGCGGGTCGTCCTAGGACGGGTTGGGCTTCGTGCGGTGCTGCGGTGCGGCCTGCACGGCCTGCGAGAGCGGCCCGGGCCTTGAGGGGCTGCCGGTGGTTCCGTAGGCCCCGGGCTCGGCGGGGCGGGCCGGGCTTTGAGCTGCTGCGGAGCTTCCGGGGCTGCTGGGCTGAACCCGACCCGCTCGTCCCCACCCACGGTGGGGTGATGGGAGTCACCGAGTGGGGAAGCGGTGGCGTCGGGCTGCCCGTTCCCGGTGTTACCGGGGCCGGGCGCTGCCGGTGGTTGTGGGGGAATCACTGATCGCCTCCGTGCTGCTCGGAGGTCCCGGAGCTCCCGGTGCCACGGTGGGGGTGTGTGTGAGGTCCGTCTGTCGGTGTGTCACCGTTGCCGGTTCCCGGGGCTGGCAGCAACCGGGGAGCTCAGAATGGGGACGGACCGACCCCGATTGGAGCAGAGCACCGGCCGTGCTCGTGTGCAACCTCCCTTGAAGGGACAGAAGGGACGGGTAACCGGGACAGAGCGGGCTGAGGTGGAAGTGCCCCATTCCAGACCATTGTCCTCACACAGCAACGTTGCTGTGTCCGTGTGTCCGTCCGGCCTGGGCCGTTCCCAGATCTCCAGGTCACTGGGTGTCCCTCACGGGCTGAGGAAACGTGGCCCCGCTCCTTCCTGTAGGATTAAAGCTGTGCAAAGGGCAGATTTCTCAGTGCTTTGCCCTCTCTGGAGCTCTGCACGGTTCAGCTGAGGCGCTGCCACAACGAAGATCGAGGAACGAGCGGCTCTGCAACCACACCACGAGCTTCTGGAGGATGGGGAGAGCCCAGAGCAGCACCCTTGGGCGTCAGGGCTGCTGAGGAGGCCGTGCTGAGGTCAGGTTGTGGCCCTGCGCTGCCCTGTGCCTCTCCAGCCTGGCTGTTTTATGGCCGTACACCGTCGCCGTTCAAACCCAGCCCTTTCTCCTCCTGCTGGCTTTTGGCACAGTGCTCTTCTCCTTTCCCTGCCTCTAACCTCGGCCCCAGAGTCCAAAGGGCCTCGTCATTTCTGCGCTTCCTCTGCAGTGAGTGATCTGCAATTGCTGCCTGCCTGGCCCTGCCCAGGACGGGGCTGCGGCGGCCAAACGGCCCCTCTTATCTCACTGCCCCCCGGGCTAATCCCATTAGCGCCCGCCTGGGCTCCGGCGCTGGCTTTGCAGGCCCCAGATAAGGATGTATGATTGCTGCAAGGAAGTAAATCGTGTTTGTTGTCCTGTTCTGCTTGGCTGGCCCGGCCCCAAACGGCTCCGTGGTGAGGGTGGGAGCGGCGCAGGGCTGGCTGGGGAGGGCAGGGGCGCTCATTGTGCTCCTGCTTTGCTCGCTGTGTTTTCCTTTCACCGCTGCCCTTCTCCCAGAGCTTCCTGCCCCTCCTGGCTCTGCTCACGTCTGCCCTTCCGTGGCCCCTTTCCACCGTTCCTTCCTAACACCAGGATCCGTTTCACACGCTCCTGTGGCCACATCCTGGCTCCTCCCTGGGGACTTTGTGCGTCCTTTTGGAGTAGGTGCCAGCCTGGGGGGCGGCGTGGGCAGGAGCGGGGCACTCCTCCATGTCTCAGCACTTCTCGTCCCTCTCCTTTTGTGCCCTCTATTTTTGGGTCCTGACAGCTACAGGGCAGAGCGTTTATTTCAGGTCACAGAGTGACCGTAAACGAAGTCCTTTTGCTTTGGGGGCACTGCCAACAGGTGGCTGCCGACACCATTTGCCTGCAGGCAAGATCTGAGCAGAGCCAACCTCGTCCCCCCCGTTTTGTCCCCGTGCTCCCAGAGCATCCCGGCACCATCCTTCCCATGACAGGGCCGTCGAGGAGGGGGTTTCCCTGGGTCTCTCTCTGCCCCCCGTCTGCCTGCGGTCAGTGAGAAGCAGCTCTGCCTGCAGCAGGGCTGGCTAACTCGCTGTTTGTCCCTGAACCGCAGGTCGGGCTGCCAGACCAGAGGGGCTGAATGTTTGTTCCCTGCCCTCCGCCGGCGATGGAGTACGTGGTAAGGCCGGCCAGCGCTCGGGACTTCGGTGGAAGGGCTAGGTGGCTTCGGTGGCGGATCCTGCCTCCCCTCCCCCTTCACCACCGGGGCCCAGCCTCAATTCCAGGCCTCCTCCGCTGGTTCTTTTTGTTTTTTCCCCTGCCCCTATGCCAACAAGGCTGCTGGGAAGTTCAGAGAGGTCGCACGCAGACGCCGTGTGACGCTGTAGTGGTGTTTAGGGGAAAATCCAGCTCGTGGCTGGCTCTCGGCCTTTCTCTTTGCTCTCCCCGCCGTGCTGCAGGAGGACGGGGCACGGCAAGGGCTCCGTCTCCCCGTGTTGGGATTCGGGGGTCTCCTGCCCTCCGTGTGCCGACAAGCTGCGTACGTGTGGCAGCCCCTGTGCCTGCGTGCGCCTCGCCGTGACTTCTTGCCAAACCGCTCTTGTGTTCCAGCTCTCTGACTCAGCTCCTGCTTTGTGTTTCCTGGGAGGACGGCAGGGCTGCGAGCAGAGCCCGGGGAAACGCAGGATCCTCCAAAGCAGAGCGCTGGGCACAGCTTTCAATTTGCTGTGCTGCGTCCCCACTCTGCTCCTCATCCCCTGGGCTGTGCACGAGGTCACCTGCAAGCACGCAGTGTCCCCCCGTCCTGCACATAAGCAGGATCTGGTCGAGCCCTGGCTTCCAGCCGTGAGGAGCCGCTCTGCTGCAGGGCTGGGAGCGCGTTGCCAGCCGGTCTGGCAAGAGGAAGGGCTGCTGGTTGCTGCTCGGGGGCTGCAGGACCCGATTCCGTGGGGCTGCGCACGTCTCGGTTTGCCTTCGGTGCTCTGTGGCCCCTGGGCTGTGATTCCTGAGGTGGGCTTTGGGGCTGTGGCAGTTGGGTCTGGGAGCCGATGCTGGTGGGGATGTGAGTGCGCTGTTTGGCCTCGGCTTCGATGCCGGAGGTTCTGATAAAATCAAGAGTTCTTCTGTTTGGTAGAAAGGAGATCTGTGAGAAGCAGGCACAGCTCGGGGCGCTGCGTGCGCCGGGAATTGCTGCTCCCTGCCCTGCTGCCTGTCTGGGCTGGGTCAAAAAGACCCTTTGCCCCTTTTCCAGCTCTCCTCAAGCAGCAGCCAGCCCCTGTTTGCAGATGCCTGCAGCCTTTCTAACAGCAGGACGAGGGGAAATGGATCCAAGTTGAAGGAGGGAAGA